ATACAAGGAAGAATCACGTATTTCAACCTTAGAGAGGAGAAGTTAAAGAGGAGAATTATATTATCAATGAAACTGCCAACAACTGACTCAAATAGTGCATGCATGATATGAAACAGGAAAGGGGAAAAATGGAATGGACCAGACCAGAATTTGAATCTGAGGGCCCCACAATCACTAATCAGGAGCTCTACCAACTAAGCCATCTGGCCATCAGCAATGAAACCTGTCTGACCGCCACAGAAAAAAAATAAATATTGAAAGTACATCTCAAAAAGCTGTCATCTCATGGACAGCTCCAATCCTATCAAATGAAAGAAGAAGGGATTATTTCTCAGATATTTATTCTAATTGCCCATGTTTGGCAATCAATATTTCAAATCCCAGAGCCATGTCGATAACATGACAAGTAATCTTTTTTGCAATACATCTCCATGGAATCTTTATTAGGGAATTATAATCTTGACCTTTTTGGGCAAGGTTTTATGCTCTTTTACATAAGATTACATGAAAATGAGTCCAAGTTGCATATTTCAGGTGCATCTCCTAGATGAAAATGAGTACTTCTGAAGAAATAAAAACACATCCATTTAAGAAAGAGCGATTATCTTTAGAGTTTCATGAAGAATAACAAATTTTTCAAAAGGAATTTAGAGAAGCAATTAAATTTTGCATTCAGTTGTCAAATGGTATCACTCACCCACTCGCAAATGCAATAATTTCTTCTGTGGGTGACCAAATCTTCAGGATGTTATTGCCCACATGGAGAGTAAGATTTTTATCAGAACTTTTCATGAACTGGGGTTTGATTCTACCATACATGTGTATAATTATTATGCACTTTAATTTTAAATAAAAGACTGTGGACAACAAAGTATACTTCTCAAAGATTATGATATGACAAGAGGCCTTAAGCGTCACCAGAGTATAATGTAACATTGTAACGGATCCAAAGATTGAAGTATAAAATAAAACAAAATAAGATGATAAATGAAGGTAGGTTGCCCAAAAGCAGGAGGAATAGGATGACCAGAGATCAGCAAAATAATTAATTTAGTACTCAGTAACAAATCTTAAAGTTGTTCTGTGTACTTGCCCCTATTTGTCACTATCCCCATGTGGACTAAACAAAATAATAGTTATTGAGCATTATCAGTAAACCCATTTCATTCCCTCTCACACTGGCCTCTCTTGGTCTTTGAAGAACATTTATGTACAAAGATGAGGGTTTTTGGTCCCATTTTTATTCATCTATTATTTACAAGTTTACCTGACCATTAAAACTATGAAAGTACTTTTTGTATTAAATATAATAAAGTTTCTTGTATAATCTGTTAATCAACTGACATTTTAATTACATTTTTTAAAGTTATTAATTATCATAGGTGAATAGCAAAAGAGAATAACTTCTTTCAGTAGAATACAAATTAATAAAGTGACCAAGTGGTGCACAAGAATTTCAAAAATCTGGTACCCTTACGCCCAAGGGGGCAGGGACCATGAAATTCACAATCAATTTTTGTAACCCTTCACCCATTCAATGATGCATACCAATATTCATTGAAATTGGTTGAGTGCTTCAAGAGAAGAATTTAAAAATGTTCAAAAGTTTACAACCAATGCACATCACATGACGACGGACAAAAAACAGATAGCAATAGGTCACCTGAATGACTCAAATGACCTAAAAAGATTTTTAAAAAAATTTTAATGAGTAGACTGAACAGACAGAAAATTGTGGGCCCTAAAATATCAATGTGGGCTAGTAAAGCTTGTAAAGTTGAGGGCCCACATGACTCCTAAGGTTTTAATTATTATTCGTAACCCTGCAACATCAACTTTCAAAAATTAGCAACAAAACAAATTTTATTTATTTATTTATTTTTTTTTGGAGACTGAAGATTAACTGGTAACTCTATTTGGTAATAAATTATGACACAAGCAATGAGAAATATATATTAACAATGAGTCACTGTAAATTGTAATTATGTTATTACATGTAATAAATATGATAATTACATGTACGTTACACATGTTACAATGGTGTTATCTTTTTATAGGGATACTAGTCTTGACTTGTTCGTGTGTCTAATGTTTATTCAATTCTTAATTTCTCTCTATCACTGTTCCAACCCCATGATTTTTTTCAGTTACTTTACATTAAGCTTCAATTTTGCATAGCATGAATATTATATCTAACTAAAGGTTTAAAAAACTATTCATGAAAAAGAAATAATCAGAAATTCTAATCTGAACCAGGCATGCAAACAAAGGTCTCTTCATTCCCAGAATTCAATGCCAAGATTTGTTACAATCACCTATTTCATGGTAATCAAAATTATAGACTCCTAACCTTTAACCCTTTTAATGTGATGTTTAGAAAATGAATTGTAATAAAACAAATTTTATTTTGACTACACTGTATTACTATAGTGGGTACAATAAACCAAACATTAAAGTTTTGTGATAAACACCGGTAACTGACAGCTGAATCATAAAATCATAACAAGTTATTTATGTCTCTGCTCATACATGATAGAATCAATAAATAGATATCATATATGTCTGTTTCACAGACACTATTGAAATTTCCTGTACTTGTATGCCAGTAAAAATTGTGGAAGATACTATCAAATACCTTACACTCTACTCAGAGTCACAAGCAGGATTAGACTGAGCATCTACGGTTGAGATTGTGTAACAGGAAAGGAGAAAAATGCAACAGATCAGACCAGGATTTGAACCCAGGCCCCATGAATCACTAGCCAGGTCTCCTTCTTATAACTGAGCTCTGTGGCCACTGGCAAATCAATCATGCCTGACCACCACATTTCTCCCTCCTTAAAGGTCTCCATCCCTGAAGACACCAACAGGTCCAACACAATCTCAAAATTAACACATGTAGCTATATAGCTTAAGGAGGACTGCTACATCAAAATTTATTTAAACTGTGTTCCAAAAGATATGTCTTGAGGAGGGACTTATGTCGTTCCACATCAGAGCATCTGTATTTGTTGTCACAATAGTGGTGTGTCTTGTTACATACTTCTTCATAAGGAGTTTGCAGTTGACTTTTGCACTATTGTGCATACATGCAATTGTGATATTACAAATCGAGGTCTTCATGTTAGTAGCTTAGTAATAAGTATATGTTCATGTATCCAAATTAAAGATTTGCCAAAAATATTTTGAAAGTAGAATTTGATATTATATCTTGCTGATAGAATAACATTTTTAGCAATTTCAAATGAGAAAAAAAAAATGCACTTCAATGACATTTAGTTCTGAGAAAAATCTGTCATAATTAAGAGCTCAAAATGGCTTGGCACATAAAGGTATGCTTATTAATTGATCGTATACAGTGTATTTACACATTAAACTTGCTCGAAACAGTGTGTGGGAAAAATAAACTTTCACTTAATAAATAGGTAGAATATCTATTTCTTATGTTTGTGTGTTTGTGTGTGTGCAGGTGTAGACATGGTGAAGGGGGGGGGGGGGGAGGGGGTAACCAAATGCGTGAAATCAAGTAGGATAAAAAAAAAAATTAGATAGTCCTTAAATCTTAAAAAAAAAAAAACAAATAATTTTCTCATAATATTTTTTTTTTATTATTATTTTGTACAATTATGTGTTCATCAATGCATGTTAACTTACTAATGTCTTACTGCAGAAAGGTCAACTTTTTAGAAAACAAAATAAAAAAAAAATAAATATTACTCATTTATTTGCAAATAAAGGTATACTTTTTTCTTTCTCAAAATAAAGACAGGATTTGTCTTCGAAATGCATTGATTACAAAAGTTTAAATTCACAAAAAGACTTTTTTCAATGTTCACTATAATTTATGACAAATTTGAAAAAAAATTAGTGCAGGGAAAATGGAGTTATACTTATGTTGTGCTCGAGAAAAATATATGTGCTGATTAATTTCAATAAATTTTAAAGCTGTAAGTCTACTGATTTTAATAGATATTGATTCATGATTTTTTTTTATCATTTCAGCTCAATTTAATGCAGTTTTTGTAAAATTGATGCTGTCTCAAAATCAGTAGTTTTTTCGCATTTGACACTAGAACAGACTGTTCTTGCATGGGCTGTGGCATGAAAATTAGCATAAAAATGTGTATTTTTTATTAACTAATATTTATAAGTAAGTGGTAATAAAGAGAATATCAAGTTTCAAAAATTTCACGAAGACTTTTCCTTAGCCCCCCCCCCCCCTCAAACATCCATTAAATAAAATGTTGGTGTAGCATTCCACCCTAATTTAGTTATATAGCTTGATTTAGCCATTGTATCATACTTTAATTTTTTTTTAATTTGAAAATTTTTCAGCATGTAAAAAATTGCAATTTGGTGCTGTTAAAGTTTTAAGCTTAACTTTGAAATTCTCAAATTAAAACAATGCATAAAAAAATCATTCACCCAATTACTCCTTCTTATGAGACTTTGAACTCAAAGTTCGAAAACTTTTGGGGATATATTAAGCAAATTAATTTGTGACCACACGGTAGTTACTTCTTAAATAAAATTATAAAGGGGGTCATGTCAATATGTGGTAACAGAATTGATAATTCAGAACAATGTGAAATTATCATACTTAGCCATGCCTCACGGCACACATGATAAGGTGGTATACAATTACTAGTACAATGGAAAAACATCTTTTGCTTAAAAGTTCAAAAGCAGCAATGTTCTCATACAAAAACATATTTGTAAAAATCTGTATTGAAATAGATATACCAAGCCATTTTGAATAGCTTTATAAAGCTGTATAGGGGAAGAAGAAAAATGCGACGGACCAGACCAGGTTCCGAACCCTAGCCCCCTGAATCACTAGTCAGGTGCTCTACCAACTGAACTATCTGGCCAATGGCGAGCGATCCTGCCTGACCAACACAAGTGAGGAAATTCGAACTGAAAAATGCATCCTCATTAAGGTATATTTATTTTCTTTTCCACTAACTTAATATTAATGAAACTACGTAACTTGTACATACCTAAGTAGTTGTCCATGTTTTGCTGAAACACTCACAGCCAAGTCACTCATACTGTTCGTGATATTTGTATTTGTATTTCTTCTTAAACTTAAAGACTGAAAGAGTAATTATTGTATGGGCGCAGCCATATTGGATATCGCGAGTGCGAGACTTGCGCGCACAGAGAAGCCATCATCGGTTTGTTCTGAAACTGTTGTGAATTTGATTGTTTATTACATCCTTTAAAGATGTCTTCTCAAGTTCAGAGTTTGCAGAAACAATTAACGCAACTTCGACAAGAAGCTAATGTAAACAGAATTCCTGTATCGGAGGCTATACAAGAGTAAGTCCAGTCGAATGTTTTCCTGAAAATGAAATCAATACCCTCAATACGATTTACAGACGCTGATTCTGACTGTCACCCTTTTTTGAAAGTGATATAGACCTTATGAAGCAATTTCTTGTTTAGTATTTCTGTTTTCCTAGACTGTGATTTATTCAATGTTTAAAAAATTACTTAATTTTTGGGAATGATTTGGTCAATGTCAGTACTTGAATATGCCCCACCCATTCAGCATGAGCAAGGAAACTCAGTGTATACCCGAAGCGAGCGACAAAAAAGCGGCGGCGTAAATCGAAGGTTTTTACAACGCTTGGATCTGTAGCTCTCTGGTTTATCTGTCCGAATTTTCTCAACCAGAGAGCTACAGTTCTGCAGCTAGGCATGATCATTGATACCTCAGCAGTCTGTTACTGTGGCATCATTAGAGATTATTTACTGAGAAGTTTATGAATCGGCAGCCCTCATCATTGATGATTTCTATGCTGATTTATCAACTTGTCACATACAAAATAATTCATTAGACATTGAATTTGAATTCCCACACACAAACTATCAAGATTATTTTGAAAATTGTGAACATTTATTATATAAGGCGTAATAAAAAATATGTTTGTTTACGGTTACATGCTGAAATAAAATAGGGTTGGTAGGTAGGATTTTTTTTATATTATTGAATTTTTTTTATACACATATTCACATGAATTGGTTGAAACGCAAAACAGTTTTACCATTGTGTGGTGCTTTACTTTTGTTTGGGCTTGCCAATGGGCAATAGACACGAACATGTTGATGTAGATATTAAACACGCCATTTTGTTTCTAGTACTTTAATTTCAATTTCAGACGCTTGACCGATTAAGATGCATGTAAAAGTTAAACTGACAGGAGAGTGACTTTATGACGAAAAAAAATTTGGGTTGGCGATTAAATATAGGTTCGGTCGGGTAACCATAAACAAACATATTTTTTATTACGCCTAGTAAATATATATCCAAGGATGAATTAAGATCTCATGTAAGTGGTTTGTTCTGATGGTACTGTAGCACTCTGTACATTACCAATATACTTCCAGTGGTCCAGTTTACTGAGTTGTGATTCAGAACAAGAGGGAAGTTCAAAATGGAATGTTGTTACAAAGGGACAGCATATGCTAAAGGGTCACCAATGTCACATTTCTATTTGCAATTTTTTTTTTCTTTACAGTTTTCCTATATTCTATAAACATGATAAACCTTGAGTATTTTAAAAATTCCAAATTTTGCTTACAACTCTTAAATTAATAATCAAAAGCAGTGATTTTTAAGGGTTGATTTGGGGCAAAAGTTAGGCCCCAATCGGTCAACGTTTTTCCAAAATTGAGTTGAAGTTTTCCCAAAGAAAACTTACAATTAAAATGTGGGATCAAATTCATTTTGTTTATTGCATGTTTCTAGTAGCTGCAGAACTGTAGCATTATGGTTTTATATATTAGTCTTTGACCATTCCTCTGGGTCAAACTAACTGATATGTGATTATAAGTGTAAAAACGAATGTAAATCATTCTTTTCAGTATACTGAGTTACACAAACCAGCATGCACAGGAAGATGCATTAGTGATCGGAGTGAACCAGTCAGAAAATCCATTCAGGGAGCCTAAACCATGTTCCATACTCTAAAAGGTAATTCATTTATTTTAAAATCAGTGTCTTGCTCAGTGGCTTCATAGAAAAGCTAGCCGTGAGGACATGTGTTTGATCCAAAAATTATCAGTTCTCATAAAGTGTTCTACCCTTGGACAAATTAAAGCACTGTATCTGCATTGTCTCTGTCAACTCAGCTGCAAGTTGAAACTACCAAGACTACAGTAAGACTGTATTAACTTATACTGGACTGAAATCCAACTGATATCATGTCCAGGAGGAGAGTGTGTCACCTTCACGCTTTATTGTACAGAAACTGGAGACAAGTACTATCCTTATTAGGCAGTATTCAATACTGAATTTATCCTTTAAAAAAAAAACCACACACACACCTTTTTTTAAGCTGAAATGTAATTATGCTCCTCCTGACTTTTTTGTATTGATTTACCATTTATTCTACAAGGATATGAAATATTAATGAAATTTGCAGTGAAAAACTATATTGAGATTCACATATTTGGTAAGGTCTTCCAAATTGGCAATTTTGAGGTATATTTATTACACTGAAATCTCTGAATAATTGATAAGTTTGAAGGCTGTACATGGAAAATAAGTTGATTTATTTCATAGAACCATAAAATTTATCTGTGTAAGCGATTTAATCTCCAAGAAGGGTGGAGATTTTATTATACCCCACAATTATAGCTTTAGCTATATAGAGATCATGTAGATGTTTTATTTACCAGTAACAACAAATGAATTTCATAGGAACTTAACAATATGTAATCCAAATTTACTCAATAAAGGTTTTGTTGTGTATAGAATATGTAAAAATTTTGTTTCCTTTGACATTTATACCTGATGGATTTTAATTTCTCTTTACAGGTATCAAGCAGAGGGACTTGTACCAAATGTCTATTTTTAGTAACAGTGGGCAGTGTGCAACCTTTCTTAATGTCCCCATGTTATTATTTGTGTAGACTTAAACCCGTAATGTTGTAATATGTTATTATATTGGTTTGTGATTAAGATGTGTAATGTTTCCTCCTTCATTTAGAATTTTACTTGGGTACACTTTCAAACTGGCATCACAAGGGGGGTTGGGGGAGGGGGGGGGGGGGGGAGAATGAAATGATACACATTTTGTACCGACCATTTTAGCATCAGGTTTTTCCATAACTAGATAAGGTATTGGGTAGAGATTGATTACATGTAATTGATTATTAAAATGTCAAAAATGTTTTGTCTATAGAGCATTTGTTTATTCCTTTTTACACTCGACAGGGGTTTCAAATGAACATTACAATTGTTTATTCAGTTTTACACTTGACAAAGGTTTTAACATAGAAACTTTTAAATGCACATTTTAAATACATATATCTAATTATTATTAAATGACAGGTAACACATTTTAAATGCATATATCTAATTATTATTAAATGACAGGTAATAAAGAAGGTCAAGATAACTAAAAATGATTTCAGAACTTGGTGGATCTAGATAAGAATCCTACCAATGCTTTGTCCTTAACTGAATACTGCTGTTAGCAAGTGTATATACTTATATTTGTTTAACTTTTTGATTAAGCTTCTTTGCTCTCACATCAGAATGAGGACCAATGATTGGCAGTGGACTATGTTATTGTGCAATATATATAATAAAGCTTTAGACATTTGTGTGTTCACTACATTGAAGTGCAATATGGTTTGTGTTAAGACAGGTATATAAAGTATTCACTTCTCTGTCAAAGATGATGTACAGTCTCAAATCTCACTTGTTATTTTAATACTCGTTTAATGTATTTCTCCAGCATTTATTTGTTTTTAAAATACAGGGTGTATACTAAGTTTGTTGCTCCACAATTTAAAGAATGAGTATCGAAGAATTTACACAGGACATGTATCAATTTCTGTTTATTAGTATTGATGCTTTATAATAACATGATGCATTTCCTTTTTTTTTTCCAAATTTAAACTTGTCATTATTACCCTTTAATGTTTTTTTTTTTTATTTTTTGCAGTTTTACAAAATGTCATAGTACTAAAATGCAATAAATTTTGATAGGTTTTTTGTTGTTATTCATAAATATCGAAAAGTAGATATTATTTTAATATATGCTGTATTGTTTTGAACATCCCCAAGACTGGTCCATCAGATGAGCATGCTCTACATATGAACAATTTCTAAAACGAGGCAAACTATTGACAAGTTGATGAAACAAGGATATCAACAGTCTCGTTTGAAGTCATCATTTCGCAAGTTTTATGGTCGATACAATGACCTTATCAGCAAATACAACCTATCATTAAGTCAAATACTGACTGACGTTTTTTAAAACTAATCGTTAAGCCATTATTGACACACTGAATTGTCTACGGATTTTTCCGTATTTCCCGATCATGACAAGGAGCACAAGGCAGGTGTGACCGGTCGGCAGGGGATGCTTACTCCTCCATGGCACCTGATCCCACCTAATATTTTTGGAGGTCCGTGTTTGCTCTGCTCCCGATTTGTATTGTCTAAATGGAATTTCAAGTTGAGTTCTGTTCGTTATCTACATATTAATCCATGTCCCATGACCAGAGGTCCCATTTGTAGTAGGTTATGGCACAAAAATATCCTTTGCTGCTCAATTGCCAAAAGTATCGAGTAATTGAAATTTGCAGCTTTCCACTGGTAACCGTTGTCGTCCTAACATGAGTGAAATTTTTTCAAAAAGTTCGTAAAGCAAACAACATATCCCATATATATAGTACTGTACTAGATCACAATCTGAGAGCACAACGTACTAAAATTGAAATTCTAGTAGTGCAGGTCCCCCCCCCCCCCTCGGAAGATACGAGACATCAGTGACTTCAATACACCCAATTTACTTAGCAGTGAAAGGAAGGGTACAGTAAAAGCATGATGAATGATTTTAGTATTTTTCTCTTTGAATATGTACAGGACTATGAGTTAAGATTTAGCCACACCCCTAGGTCAAAGGCAACAACGTTCTGTATTTCAGTGAAGTGTTGAAAGAATTGCATATTTAGACACAATCTGAGCTAGATCAGGCGCGTAGCTGCCTATACGTAAGTGCGTACGCATCATTAAAAACAAACAACTAGGGGAGGGGGGTATTCGAAGAAAATATCTCGGTACCACCCAACAAATATTCGTGTCTCGAATTATTTTATGTCGTACTGTGATTTGAATTTTATATTATAATGACTGTATAATAAAATTTGAAATACTTTATTAAATCATTGCCAAATCCCAACTAGAAATATGTCCATAGGACATGAATGCCCCGCCGAGGGTACATTAGTAATGTATCATGAAAATTAGTATAAGTGTATGAATTTGATGAGAATATCTTGAATAGTTTCTTTAAAATTTAAATCTAAAAAGTTGGATATAAATGATAAATTCTCACCAAATTATGTATAAGTACATAAGCTTACATAAATATATCTTAAATGGTTTCACATAAATATATCTTAAATGGTTTCTTTAAAACTAAGCAAAATGCAAATGTAAGAAAAGTGAAGTCAAGGTCACAGGAAAGTTCATGGTCAAACATTTTTGATGCAGTTGAATAGTTCTCACAAATACGTATCAGCATATTAAGTTTGATAAAAATATTTTGAATGGTTTATTTAAAACTGAGCTAAACACTAATTTAAAATAAATGAAGTTAAGGTCAAAGGAAAGGTCTAGGTAAAAAAAAATGTTGATGCAGTTGAAAAGCTTACATCAGTATGTATTAGCATATGAAGTTTGATAAAAAATATTAATATAAAAATAATGATATGAATGGTTTCTTTAAAACTGAGTTAAACACTAATTGATAAAAGTGAGGTCAAGGTCAAATGAAAGGTCAAGGTCAAAAATGTTGGTGCAGTTGAATTGCTTACATCAATATGTATCAGCATATGAAGTTTGACACTAATTTAAGAAAAGTGAGGTCAAGGTCGAAGGAAAGGTCAAAGTCAAAAAATGTTGACAACAGTTGAATAGCTCTCATCAGTATGTATCAGCATATGAAGTTTGATAACACTATCCTGACTGGTTTCTTTAAAACTGAGCTAAACACTAATTTAAGAAAAGTGAGGTCAAAATTAAATGAAAGGTCAAGGTCATCAAAAAATGTTGATGCAGTTGAATAGCTTTTATCAGTATGTATCAGCATATGAAGTTTGGTTACACTATCTTGAATGGTATCTTTAAAAACTGAGCTAAACACTAATTTAGGAAAAGTGAGGTCAAGGTCAAAGGAAAGGTCAAGGTAAAAAATGTTGATGCAGTTGCATAGCTCTCATCAATATCTATCAGCATATGAAGTTTGATGAAAATATCTTGGATAGTTTCTTTGAATCTGAGCTTTGAACTGAGCTAAACTCGAAGCGAGACAGAAGGACAGAAGACGGACATGACAAACACTATATGCCCCGGCCATGTTCATGGCGGGGCCTAATAAATCATTAATTTGTAATTGTTCTTTTAGTACATTGAATTTTTTTTAAAAAGATCTTTGAGAAATTAAAAATCAAACACATTGTTGAATGCTATGATCTACTAGTATATGATTTAAAATACGATATTTTTTGTTAAAGTCATATATGGCGTATTTTTGATATGTTCAGACTAACTAAAATTAAAAAGATCTTTCTATTTGTTTTATTACTTTATATAATAATAAAGATACAGATACTTTCCTGTAAATTACACAATTTAAACCAATCATGTTTCAAAGATATTAGAAATTTAAAACAATAACCGATTTATTTACCGACTCTGCATTTAAATAACAGACACAGTTTAAAGTCAATTTAACTATGGAAACATGAGGTTATTTAAGTTCAAAATCGGAAAAAAAATTAATTCGAACGTAAATAACATATATCCTGTTTATCTACACTCAAATCTCGTATTTTTATTTTTTAGCTCAGATACGCCATATATAGCTTTAATAATTAACATTTAGTATTCGTGCTTTTGAATATGTTGAAAAAAAAGTGTATGATACCAATATAGTATCGTTTAAATATATGTGCAATAAGTTTCCATGGATGTTGCGTTAAAACAATAAATATTACTATGTCTTTTATTTTCTAAACAAAAGCTTAATGGAATAATTTTTATTTTGGAAGAAAATGATTGAATTATTTGGTAAAACTCGGGAGCTTTGGGCCCTCACCAGCAGGCGAGGGGAGCAAATGGGTGGCCTCCCTTTATTTCCAAACCTACGCAACCTAATGTTCATTGAAAGGGTGACCCTCCCCCTTTTTTGGTGTAGCGTAGTTAAATTATGGTATTTTGGTAATGTATTAATAAAATTTAATTCGATTTGTGAAAGTTGGAACCCAACATCTCCCACCCCCATCCCGACCCCCTGCCGTTCTCTGCGTACACTTCACTTCCATTCTGCCTACGCGCCTGATAGATCTCCACTCCAACCCTGCATGGGATGGATCAGTTACATCAAAAAGTAATTAAATAATTACAATCACTATGTTTTTCCTTAAATTGAATTACAGGACTTGAAAGCTATTAAACCTACTCTATACATGTATGTATATACACCAATTACCTGCGTTTTGAAAGAACTACTCCCGCTAACTCTCGATTCCCGCCTACATTTTGCGCACATTATAATTCAACATTATGCCGATCTAGTCATTAAAACTTTTTTGAATGTAAAGTTTATTAGTAATTGATTAATATTTCATAAGGGGAAGCAAATTTTATCCATTGAAATCTCACTCTAATTGTCAACCTGGAGGCAAATTTGGGCCGGAAAACCATGAACCCATGGACTGAACAGCCACCTCATTGTAACGCAAATCCGCGAGCGTTAAATATACCAATTTTATGTCAGATTTTAAAATCTCACATAAAATAGGCATATATGACATATGACTCGTTTAAACGAGTGAAAATTCAACCATTCATTAATAAAATTATTTGAACTTTGAAAATCCATGAGTAAGGCTTTGTTATCTGAAAGAGTTTTTAAGATATATTGAACAATTATTGGAAGAAGTGAGTGAATACTTTTGTAGGAAAACGTTCGTTTTCGATCCCCAATTGGTTTAAGAACAAAAATGAAAATGAAAAAATGAAAATACTGAAACCTTGTTGCACAAGAACAGAACGCCATCAATAATATTTTAGATGATGAATTGTCTACTGTGTAAAAATTTCGACCTTTCGGATGAAATTAAAAATTCTAAAACCTTACTGCACATCTACAGGACACCATTAATCATCAAGAGATGATTTGGCTACTTCTTAAAAAGAGGAGTTTGATCGAGGAAGAAGATACATGTAGTTTGACAGACGGACAGTCCTATGGTTTAGGATAACAACAATAATATACCTGACCTTTCTTGGAAACTGCAGTTATAGAGAATTAGAGATGCGTTTTAATTTTTCGACAGACGAGAGTAATTAGTCCCGTGAACAATGTAAATTCCGAAATGTTATTGCAGATCTACAGGACACAAGTCATAGTCCAAAATAAGATTTACTAGTACTAGCAGCTACTGCTTAAAATGTAAAAGAAGTTTCGAGATTTTGTAGAAAAACGTTTGTTTGATTTTGATCGTGGAAGAAGATAATTTGACAGACTGACAGATGGTTTGGGATAACAACGTTATAGAGATTTTAAATCCCCCCCCCCCCCCCCCCCCCCAATTAGTCCCATGGATAACAATGAAAATAAAAAAAAACTTATTGCAGATCTACAGTACACCACAAGTCATAGTCCAAAATGAAATTTAGCTACTGCTTAAAATGCGAAAGGAGTTCTGAGATCTTGATATTTGTAGAAAAATTTCGTTTTTCAGTCCCCCCCCCCCCCCGTCCCCACACACACACACACACATACACTTGGCCTACTGGTTGAAAATGAAATTTTGCATGAGCCAAATCTTCTTTTGGAAGTTTTCATTCTCATCCAGGAGGCCAAATGAAGTCCCGATGTTTTTCTATCAGAACTATAAATCTTGTATCTTGTGTTTCTTCATAGTATGATAGAATGAAAAATAAAATGTTCTGGAATAAGAAATGAAACTGTGATACTTTTGTACAAAGTTCATTTAATTGTTTTTAGAATACTAATTGAGCTCTGAAGTTACATTCAAACACATTCTCTGCTCCAATTGTTTTCTCCTGCAACTTGGCTAACGTTTTCTTAACACGAACCATGATGTTAACGAGATCGTATCTGGAAAAAAAAAAAGACAATCAGAACATCACCATCTTGTAAATATCGACGTAAAGAAGATCATAATCTAAGGCCATGGCAAATTAAGCCTTAGGTTTACTTCCCTTAATTTTTTGAAAAGGTACCCTCCTGTCCGACCAAAAAAGAAACACGTTTCAAAAAATTTCAAAAGATTCTCAATAATAAGAAAAAATATTGGTTTATAAGTCACACATTAGCATTAATATGATAGAAATCATTTGAACTTATTTAAATTTATGTTCTCCAACTTAAAGATTTTTGATTTGTTCCTTTTTATCTCAAAGATTAAAAATACTGTAGCCTTAAAATATATACTGGATTACAATATTTCCGTATAATATAGGGAGAAAATGTTGGGAAAAAATGACAAGCCTGCATGTGTTTCTTTTTTCTACATGAGATTTCCTGAAGACCTACCTGAGGACGCAAAACAAAGAATTATTTTACCGTGGCCTTATTATAATTTCTTATTCTGAAATCTCCAGCATCACGCAAATTCAACACAGGGGTCAATTCTGGGCTTTGATTTTACTTAAAAAACGAAACTGATACTCTGTTCAATATGTGTTTACATGTAATACAATTATATGGATATCTTTATTCATGTTTATACTCCTTAATCAGTTGTCTCAAAAGCAAATAAAAGAACAATGATACAGAAAAAAAGAAGGGCTAAGCACAGAAATATAATTCATTTCTAATTCTTGTGTTATCCCTCTGATCAAAGTGATAGAAGTTATCTACCTTTGGGAGTATTTTCTGAAGTACTTCAGAAATGTTTTGTACAGAAGACTTTCACTCGTTCGTACATGGAATTCTGTACAGTCTTTAACCATTGAATAACCAATCAGGAAATCGCTCGTGAGAGGAATGTAATGCTGCTCACGTGAAACACCGTTGCCTTGTCCACTTAGTATGCCTAATGAAGAATAAAGATTATAAATGACTTCAATATTTCATATCAATTATTAAACAAAAAAAAATTAAGATACATGTATATACATGCAGAGAGAGAGAGAGAGAGAGAGAGAGAGAGAGAGAGAGAGAGAGAGAGCTCTGTACCACGACTGACAGACTTCTGAAATCACAAAATGCAGTTTACAAATTTTGATTTGTGTACATTTTACTGAAAAATTGCAAAATCTTATAAGAATAAGATCTTGAAAAAAGGCTAAATCCCAAGAGTTTTTTTTTAATACAGCACAAATCAGTAGCTCACAGTCATCAAGAATATAAATATGTTTTCATTCAAACAGGAAATTATCATAATTTTTTAAATACAATGTAACATACTCTTTTCCAAAAAGCATTAAGCTTTTTGAAATCTAATTTATTTTACATTTAATGACTCTATTGCTTAATACTTACATACCTTTCAAACTATAATGGTCTCCCCGACAGCCTTGAATGAAGAAACATTTCGGTTTCCCTGAAAGAGAGACACAACGACTTCCGGTGAAGAGGCCGGTGACGTCTTCAACCTTGATTTCTCGACAGTCGCTCCCGAACAATGTCCCTCTCCTGCCGTGACTTGCAATGCAGCAGACAAACGCGTCAAACTGGGCATGGTCCGCATTGCTGACGTCACTAAGAATCTTGATCATGTCGTAAGCAGGTACGTTTGCGTATCCCCTGACAATGAAATGCAGTTCGTCCCTGAAGAACCGACTCAGCTTATCTTTAAAAAAAAATTAAAAAACGAATTCTAGGAATTTCAATTTACTTGGTACAAAACATATATGTATTTCAAAACAAAGGTCCTCGATTTGTGCCATGATTTGGACAAGGTCAAGGTAACAGTGAAAAGATAAAATTGTGGTGTCTGATCCATAATTTTGCAGAAGATAAAAGAACGAGTAAAAACGCATTTTGACTCAAAAGTAGCTTAGAACTTGAGAACGTGTCATGTCCTTTAGTCAAGGTGATAGGCAGGTCATAGAAATTTTCATTGTACAAATATGTTCTTTGATTTTTGCATTACTGTATGCGAGATTTTAACATATATGTCAAACTGCATTTTGGATGTTCATGGAAATGTCTCCAAAACTTGTTTGGTCAAAGTACACATTACACTTGAACTCGCTCAAGTGCATAAGTGTCAATGAATATAAAATGTATTTTTGATTTCTTCAACAGAAAACACGTTCATTACTATAAACCAAAATGAAATCTTTACTTAATATTTCATGTATGACATCAATTGCGTAGATACCTGCATCCTCTATTGAGGCATCTCGCCTTAAACCTTTCTGTATCACTCGGAGTGTTTGCGGGCCACTGTGTGTTAATGCTATCATCTCTTTGTAGAACTCATAGTTGTTTATTATAACTGCATAACCTAAAATGGAGTAAGATATCTTCATTCTAAAAAGATTTGTTGACTATGTACACAGCCGCCTGATGTAACTTATTTTTTGACTATGCACTATTAATATTATACTACATGTATATATACAAGTACTAGTAGTTTATAAATAAGAAACCACAAAGAAAATACTTTAATACACAAACATGTACACAACCAATTCTAGCTTCAAAACTTGAATGGAATCGCAACTGAAAAAAGTGAAAACATGTTTATGAGTTTTTAATTTGATGTGGGGTATATTTTGATTAACTTTTACAGTCCTGTTAAAATTGTTCAAAAAATTGCGTAGTTCTAAAATAATACTGTTTTTTAAATGTTACATGTACGTTAAATTTGCGAACTGAAGTTCACTAACATTTAATTAACATTTTTATTGAATGGGTTCTAGGGCAAAATGCGTTTTGTCGGACCCAAGAATAAAACGATTTACATGAGGCCATTAGGCAGGTCTGGGCGGCCTCCGTTTTTGGAGGATAGCTAGATTCAATATGGCGGCCAAATTTTTTACCATATATGGAAACCGCATTGCATTGTGGGATAGTTTATCCTCCGATTTCAGAGGATAACACAGGTAATTTTCAAAGGCATCGTGCCTACCTTTAATCAAAAAGTGCAAGCACCAGAGTACATGTAAATAAAATTTCAAACATTAAACTATCGATTGTATGTGGCGATTTGAGATTCTATGTCTAGATATTTTGTAATTTATTTTCAAAGTTGGCACTTTTTGCGGTCCATTATTACTGAATATTTCTTGTTATTTTGTGTTATTTTTCATTTTTTTCCCTACTTAAACAAATAAAAAAGGACTTTTATATTTCTTCGATATTTTCTTTTAATTCAAAAATGGAGGACAAAAGGAAACACAAAAGGAAACATATTTTAAGCGTATTTAAAATGCAAAATATACTCTGCCTTATGATTTAAGCAAACAAAACTATAATTAAAATGGATTGAATGAATAATTATAAAAATAAATAATTTGAATAGCATAAATAAATAAAATAATAATTTAACATGTTTGCGAAGAAATTAACATTTATTTATACAGCCATGTTTATACATAAACAAATAAAATATTACAAAGTGATGTGCTTAAGAATTATAAAGTGAAAGAAATAATACATGATTAAACCTTTAATTTTTCCAAAAAAAATTTGATTATCAAAATTTCTAAACTGCTTATTACATAATTACGGTACTTGGAAATAAGCGTGGTTATAGTTTACCTCAGTCACGGGCAGGTTAGTGTAATATTTGTTTTCCAAGCTGTATACGGAATTACTGATTGACGGCAATTACAAAAATATAGTTATATTGATTTAATATCTAGAATTATCCATCATTATATGAAATTATACCTTTTATTTGTTTTGATTGCGAAATCAGCGCACAGTTCATAAGTGCAAGAGTTGTGGTTATTTGTTTGGTGAAGAGTTAACTGCCCTTGGTTTTGAAAATTCCGGTAGGTGGCAAGACCGCTATCCTCTGTTTTCAGAGGATAAAATCTATCCTCCAAAAACAGAGGCCGCCTAGACCTGTTAGGCCTAAGCCAAACAGTTTTGCTCCGAGGGGTCGACCAACCGCATTTTGCCCGAGAACACTGTCAATAAATCTTTTGTTACACCTTTTACTTTTCATTTTGACATATCTTGCGCTGGCTTCCACAGGGTTCTCCACAAGGGGTTTTACCATGGCGGCCCGCCATGGTTAAATTTATGTGCGCCATGGTTAAAATGGGCGGCCGCCATGGTTAAATTTTTATTGCATTTTAGTATATACACCTACTTTTTAATGAATTGAGTAGTTAATTGTGTTTATACTACGACTGCCATGCATCTGGCATGCCTCGAGGGAAAGCGGACTGTGCAAACAAACACGGTCGCTGATCGGCGACTATGCCGGGAAGCGTGACAATGGAGGGTCAATCAGCTGAAGATCAATATCTTGAGAATTAATTATCCTGTAGTATACAAACATGTAATTTCGGGAAATTCCAACGTGTTCACTATTTGATAAAAGATCATAACGAGCAGTAGGTATGCCCAGAAAAAAATAAGCCCTTTCAAAATTTCCTATTCTTTGTATTTAATCAATTCCCCATGCTTTGTTTTCAAGTATTAACTTTATTATCTTTCTGATAAAATGTACGTAAGTGCCAATCGTCGTCTTAGTTTTAGAGTTACCTCCCGTTTTTACGAAACTTCGCGTGGCGCTATTCTTAGCACGGGCACGTGGAGGAATAAACAATGGAGGAAACTCAGCAAAAATGCAATATATAGAGAAAAAATAACGTTTAGAGAAAGACAGAATAGAGAAAGCAAAATTACATTAATGCAAATTAATGCCCCCGGTTATACTACGTTACTTTTACCATGTATGCCACCAGTAAGTTTTCAAAGATCATGAAGTTAAAAAAAGCTTAGGCATTAGTAGGATGTCGGCTTTCGTTTGTTTGTGTGTCTGTTAACTTTTTTTTAAAGTACTACCAATTCATCAGTTTTTGTCATATTTAAATAAAACTTTTTATATAACAGGCAACATCAATTCTGTATATCAGTTTTTGAAAAACTGTTGCCATGGTTACTCTATCAAAACATTATTTTGAAATTCCTTCAAAATGTTCCTACAGTTTTGGACCAATTTTGGTACATTTGTAGAGTAATTAAGATACATAATCCTTTTTATTTTTAATTTTTTAGCTTAAAAAAATTATTGGTTATTTCAACTTTTTGTGCTGCAGTGGTTAAGTTTTGTGAATTAACCAATTGATTAATGAAGGTTAGGAAGTCTAACATGCATTCGTGTTTTGATCGCATTGCGCCTTCACGCAGCTTCCTCCATGGTTAAATTTTCAAATGTGGAGAACCCTGCTTCCATGTTTGCGATAATTGATGTTTATTTCGTTTACCCGCACTGCGTATTTAATCGGTCAATCCGTAACCAACGAATGCAATAAAGATATTACAGCTTATTCCGCCTACTGTGTGACGTAAGAAACGTCATAGTGGTCCAATATCTCATCGACATGCCCAATATTTAAATGAGCAGTTCAATATCGATTTTTTTTTTGACAGCTCGGGAAAAAAAAAATTATATTTACATATAAGGAAACAACATTTTCAAAGGTCACGTCTATAACTTTCTTAAACCCAACCTCGAGGTTTTCTGGTCGTAGAGTAAAATGCCGAGTCACAAACATCATTCAAGCTCCTCCATTTTGGCATTTTCAGCTGGCTTTCAAAATAACCGGTTTGTACGGTGGAAGAAGTATTGAAACGACTTGTAGGTGTAGTTGTTTTTGTGTCCGAAATGTTATGTATTCTGCCATCAACACTTTGGTTGTCTGTATATACTGTTGTATTCACTACGTCGGAAGTGTCCATGACGTCAACGGTAAGATGGTCGTCTGCTGTACATGTTATCATTGTGGCGTTGTCGACTTTATGTTGAAATTGATCCAATGACTGGACAGCTACTGGAAAAATAAAATTGTGTGGTTGTTAGCTCACCTGAGCTTTTCTGTTTACTAGTACCCGTAGTTCGGTGTCCGTCTATCCATCTAGGTGTCTGTTTCGTCCATCTGTAAACTTTTCACATTTTGAACTTCTTCTCAAGAACCACTGAGCCTATTTTAACCAAAGTTGGCACAAAAAATCCTTGGGTAAATGAAATCAAATCAAAGCTTTACACTGAATTATATAAGGAAACTCTATCAAAATCTCTTCTGCCAAAAGAGATGAAACTTAGATGAAAGCTTTCTGATGTAGTGTAGATTCTTATTTGTTCAAACCATGGCCCTTGGGGGAGGGTGTGGCCACATTATGGGATCAATGGTTTACAGTGACATATATGGAGAAAGTCTTTAAAAATTTTATTCTCAGGAACCATTGGATCAGAAAAGATAAAACCTTTGTGAAAGGTTCCTGAGGTAGTTAGATTCGACTTCTAAATACTAGTAGTTCAAATCATGGGTTGGATGAGACCACAATAAGGAATTTTTTTAAATCTTCTTAAGAATCACTGGGCCTGAAAAGTTAAAAGTTATGTGAAAGGTTCCTAATATAATGTAGATTGTAAACTGTTCAAATCATGATTCCTGGGGGTAGGTTGGGGTCAAAGTGGGGATCAAAGTTTTACATATGATTTTATGAGAAGAACCTAAATAAAACCATTTACTTTAATTTACAAACATCCCCAAGTTGTGTGCATTCATTTTTTTTAAATAATGGACCCCAAGTTAGAGTTGGCTAAACTCAGGATCAAATTTAACATAATGCATGTATTTTCTTTTCCAGAACTGTAAGGCCTTGTTAGTCATATTAATATGAGACATTCCCGTGTTGTATTGATTAAGAGACCCCTTATAGAGTTAGGGTGGGACCATAATATGGGGGCACAATTTTTCTTGGGAATATAAATATCTTCTGAAAAACAGCATTGCTAAAGTTACCTAGGTGAGCGTTGTAACATGTTTTTTATGTCCCCGTAATCAAAGATTCGTGGACATATAGTATTTGTTCTGTCCATTCATCTATCTGTCTGTCTGTTTGTCTGTTAATCTGTCTGTCCACAAAATCCTTAACCTTGCCCATAACTTTTGAATGATTAGTGCTATGGCTTTCATATTTCACATGTGTATTACTTGTGACAAGACCTATCTTTTTTGACCTCTTGACTTTGATCTTAGATTTTGACCTACTTTTGCAAAGATTTACCAAACTTTTACCATGACAATAACTTTTGAACAGTTGGAGCTGGGGCTTTTATATCACATGCATTCCATGTGTACAGACCTTTCTTTGGGTACCAACATTTGTGAACCTTTCGACCTTGACTTTTGAGGTTGACCTACCGGTACTTTGGACAAACTTAATCTTGTCCATAACTATCGAACAGTGGTTGCTAGGAATTTCATATATCACAGGTATATTCCTTGTGACAAGACTTTCTTTCAGGTACCAACATTTTTTACCTCATGACTTGACCTTGGAGTTTGACATACATGTACATATGAACAACTAAAACCTTGCCTATAACTTGAATGGTAAATTGCTGCTTTGGCTTTCACATTTCACTTATGCATTCCTTGTGACAAGACCTTTCCTTTGGCACCATTATCTTTTGACCTCGTGACATTGACCTTGAAGTATGACCTACTTTTTGAAAAACTTTTTCCATTTTTTCTGAATGGTTTGTACTAGGGCTATTACATTCACTTGTGAAAAGATCTTTCTTTGGGTATCAACATTTTTGAACTCTTGACTTTGGAGTTTGACCTACATCTGAAAAACTTTAACCTTGGCCTTCAGCTGCCATAAGGGGCATCGGCATCAGTGTTTCACAAAAATATCTTGTTTGTTTTATTTTGCAAGGGTAGCATTACTAGCAAATACATGTTCACTGTAATGACTGTGTTCAGTCTGCTTGATATTGTCAAGGCATCGGGTTTTAACAGCACGCGAAATATATTTTGTTTTTTGTTCGTGCATTTTGTGAATGTATATTAAAATAAATACATATATGTAGTATTTTTACTTACATTGTTTTGCACGGGAGAAGAATGAGTCCTGAAGGCGTTGCCGAGGTGATTTGTTAATTCCCATCTGCATGTGAGAGTGGGGATGAAGTCGTCTGCTTTTGAACTGGGAGAGAAGCTCTTTTTCTAATGACCTGGGATCTAGCTCTGTATATAACGGAAGTAAATTCAAATGGCGGGGGATTGTAAGAGCCAAATTCTTAGCCCCTCATGCATTTAAAATAAACATATAGTTAACTGTGTGACATTTTGTAATAAAGCATGTCTCGGATTCCATAGATACATAGATCTAAGTTTTTGGAAGATGTTATATGTAAGAGTCCAAATTGCCATCAAAATACGTTTTTGGATGTAGGAAACATCGAGCGGAAAGCTAATTTAAGTTACACGATGTATTGAAATTGTAAATGTACTTATTTTAGCGGTGATATATTTTATATTCATCAAGTTCATTTAGAAACATGGCCCAAAATGCGCTAATTTATCATAACGCTATTCAGTAGATGAGAAAGTTTGTGCTAAATTTTAACTACGCTCTTTCATATACTTGTATGTTTACAGTATTTAGTCTATAAGTATATAAGGTTTCCATAGCCAGATGAACTACTAGTAACTTCCGCTGTGTTTTCCTTAATATTGTGGGCTTAAAAAGTTTTTGAGCAGGCCTAATGAAAGACGTTTGGTCATGAATTTGGTTTGATTTCGATCACGTCCGTCCTCAAAAAAAAGAGGTGAAATAAAAAAAAGGTTCTTAACTAACCTTGTTCTTTTACTTCATTGTGCTGATTGCATGAATAAAAAAATGTATGATAAAAAGAAGTGTTGTTTTGTCTGTGATTTTCAATTTCAAGTAATTTTACAACTGCTTTGAACTTTTGAGTGCATTTTTTTTAAATAATTAATCAAATCTTGTTCATACATGAATGATAATATTCAAATGTTACCTTGATTTGAATCCACTTTGATTTTTGCAGTAGCAAATACAATGAGCAAAAATATTGTATTTAATTTACTACACAGCTGAATTCTTAAATTGCCAATGCAAATGTTATAATGGCAAAAAAAAGTGTGCATTTTTCTGGGAAAGTGGCATTTTTTTTCGTATTACATTTGTAGATCTATAGTTAACATACATATATATACCAGTATACAACATACAGTATACAACATATAGTATACAACATATACAAAAGAAGGAAAAAGTACTCACTTCTCACAGAGGAAGTGGGTGTAGGTAGATCTTTCTTAAATGGAAATGATTTACTCCTGTTTCCCACTGTAAACACCGTCATATCTGAAACTAGTAAGGGTTGTGTGTATAAATATATGTCGTTTAACTTCATTTTTTTGTGAAAATGTCTACAAATACGAAACTAAGCAGCAGTATTTGTTAATCTCTTTGTTTTATCTGCCCTCATCAATCTTTTGTTTCATTAAAGTTTGACAGGGAGACCTTGAACGACATTTCTGCGTATCGTTCAGAATATATTGCACAAAACTGTATGGACATTTTTAGACCGTTTCATTATTAATTTCTGTGCAGTTTGAAGATATCGGAGTCTTCCATCTCGACAAATTGCTCAGGGATACAGACCCGTAGAGACCTTTTTCTGAGAAATCTTTTGTTATGCTGATAATTATGTATATATGGAAAATTTTCTTAGTTAGGCCTGCATGCAGCCCCCCCCCCCCCCTCCCCACTTTTTGTTGTATGTTGGAACCCATTCATACAATTTTACTGAAAATATTTTCTGCTTAAAAGGAATGATCCCCCCCCCCCCAATTCCAACTTCCGAACTATGAATTTAAATTAAACTAGAGGTAATGTGAGCACTGGGCTCACAAAATGATTCCCTCCCCGAGCTCCCATATGAGTATAATGGCAAAGTCCTTTTTTTATGTCTATGGAAAAGCCCAAATTATAGATTCTGTAACGGTATCATTAAAGTTTATTCGCTGGTATAGGAGGAGTTGCGGATAATAAATGGGTACCCCTGATATTATAGAAAGAATGGCATTGTCCATGTTTTGCTATGGGAAACCTGAAATATGTGTCCAATCAAAAAGTAAAATAGGAGATGCACATTGACACTATGTAAAAAAAAAATTCTGTGAAAGTCTCATTGAATTTTATTCAGTGGTATAAGAGGAAATATAAGAGGGAGTTAAGGGATGGGTACCCCAAAGTGTAACAGACAGACGGACACCCCAATCACTATACACCCCTAATTTTCAAGCGGGGGTGGGGGTGTTATAAACAATTTCCTTCAACTTTTTATCGGAGGTAAAAAGGGTGCAATTTAATGCAGTTGTTTGCATGAACGAAAATCTATACCCAAATCCTGAATAAGAATGACTGAATAGATGTACCTGGTGATGATCTTTTGGATCTGACTTGTGGTAGATGATAAAGATTCTCATGGCTGCCTCCTTTTCCGGAATCTTTAAATAAATTTAAATTGTGATAAATTATTGTGGAGACTTTTTACCTTTCAATTACAATTACTACACAACTTGTGAATTGTAAACTCGTAAGTTACAATGTATGTGAAAACATGTTAACCCTTACAGCTTTCTTGAACTTTGATCGACATTGAAATGCTTGTGAATCAATAAAGTATATACACTGTAGTAAAATACATTTTACTGTTGAAAAAAGAAAGATTAATACTTCCAAAGTCGTCCTCCTCTTGGTCACTGACAACTCTGCGACCACTGGAGACGTCTGTTAACATGTCATACAGCTCGGCACTATTCACACTAATTCTACCATGTCTCTTTGTCTGTACAAAACAACCAAAAAATCTGGTGAGACTGTAGCTGTACTGTGCTATCAAACTGCGCTATCTAGAGAAAAGTTGAAGTTCAGGACCCTCTCTACACTGCGCCCTAAATTTGGGGTACTTGTGTGTAGTTATTTATCCACCATTTTAAATAAAATAGAATAAAATGCATCATGCATGACATAATTTGTAATTAATTCAAGTATTCTAAACATTATATTAGACCAAGATAGAGTATATATAGGATCTCCCATGATTTGTAGTTGGATATGATTTTTATCCAACGAGTTGTGTGTTTTTTTTTTTATCCCCGAGCCTTGGCGAGGGGATAAAAACACACAACGAGTTGGATAAAAGTCATATCCAACTACAAATCATGGGAGATTCTTTTTATCCCATGTTTAATACTTCACAACCAATGTTTTACACTGTTTTATATAGGACTCCACTTTATTTTACTTCATCGCGCTAACGCAAAAACCATTGTGACGTCACAACTGTGGATTATGAAAAAAATATCCAATGAGTCATATCCACGGGATAAAGGGGTAAACATGGGATAAATCATTTTATAGTATTTTCTTCAATTGAATACGCAAAGGCATTTTTCTTTATTAGTACTGTCGTTTCTGAAGATTTTTTTCTGGGTAAAAAAGGCACGCATCCTTTGTTGAAAATGAACTACATAATTTTAATTTGTCCTCATTTATGCTATATAATTATCTCAAAGTCCAAAACAGGTCCGTAGCAACGGTTTCATGGGGGGGGGGGGGGCTCCTAAAGAAATCTTACAAGCCAAAAAAACCCCTTAACTTAATGTACAAATCCTGGAATTTACCAGTGCTCGACATTACAGTGTATGTGTGTGTGTGTGTGGGGGGGGGGGGTCTAAATGATAGAAAATAGTATACTTAGAAAAAAGTGGGGGCAAACCCCCTACCCCCCCCCCCCCCGGGGGGTTCCATTGGCCTGCAAAACATTTTTCATCAGTGTGTAGAGGATCCTTAAACTGGTATAATTTCCTTTTTGCTATCGCTCAGATTTTAATGTCAATCGTTAATCTTTTCGACATTAAATTAATAAACTTCATTGATTTGTTCCATCTTTTTTATTCTAAACGGCAGAGTAGATGAAGATGTATATAAATATTTTTTTTTCAAAAAAAGTATTTTTTTTAAATTTTGATAAATGAGAAGATATTATATATTTGGAATCCATAGTACAAACTTTTATCAAATTAAATTTGATTTCAGAATCATGTAATATTGATGCAATCTACTTCTTTACCAAGTTAAACTGAAATGTCAAAATTAAGATGTGTAACACTTCAAATTCAAATTTCTGCTTTTTTTAAAGAATTCAATCAACTACGTTGGAATTTTTGTATCATTTAACCTATTTTTATGCAATAAACATTATACATATACGATTAAACGACAGGGACTACCTACTCTCCATGGTACAAGGTCTTTTGTTTGATTGGATTCCAACAGGCACGTAGTATCAGGGGAGCATGGGGTGGCCCCTTTAACTGTTAATTTGTATGAAAATATTCATTGAAAGACCGGCTGCTTCCCTTATTTTGTAGTATGGTGAAATCCTCATATCTTAAAAAAAATGGAACTTAACCTCCACCCCCCTCCCCCACGCCCTCGAAATATAGTTTTTTTTTTTATTTTGGACCTCTTTATTTTGCTTGTCAAAGATTTTGTTAGGTAAGCTGTCAATTATTTCTCCGGCTGCCCCCCCCCCCCCCATTCCGCGACCTTTTTCAAAATCGAACTACGTGTCTGTCCAAATCTGTTTAACGTACTATTTATGTACATATTTAACTTCTCAACTACCTGGTATATATCTTTAGTTACAGAAGGATTTCCACGTTTGGAAAAGAAGAGAGAGAGAGAGAGAGAGAGAGAGAGAGAGAGAGAGAGAGAGAGAGAGAGAATAAAGTTCAAAATAATTTTGAAAGAAAAACCTTTAATTTATATCTAGAGATTTACATATATTAAATGTATTTCAAATTACCAGACATTACTTTTGAAGTGTTTTCTTCAGTGAATGACTAACTACTTACCTTTGGTGCTGACATCTAATTAAAATTACAGAATCTTCACTGAGGTGTGATTAAGTACCTATATATATGTTTAAAAAAGAAGGACAAAGACATACAGGAAATTTTCAACAACACGTTTTAGAAATTTAAATAATGTTTTTTACCGAATTAAAAAAAAACAATGGGTTGTAAACAATGCCTTTCCTCTTTTCAGGGGGGTCAAAAAGTTTCGACTCATTAATCTCGCAAAAGATCACTGCTATTGTCCTGAATTTCGTTATTGTTTTAGATATCGTTCATGATATTCAGACACAAACATTAAATTCATTCAGTTGATAATTTCACCCTTTGTTTAAATTTTCTCAATAAAGCTTGACTATCTTAGGTACATAACTAAATTTGATATTTGAGATTCTCAACAACAGGGACATTTTGGCAATATGATCATAAAAGGGCTAGTGCTAAAGTTGTCTAGGTATCTGAAATTATCGAATATACGTTGACAATAAATTGATCATTACATTTATCTATTTATTTTCTAAAATATTCAGACATGGGTTTAAGAACAACGAACAAAAATCACGCTCAAAAGTCCAGATCAGGAGCAGAGCCAACATGGACCTCTAAAAGCATTAGAGGTGGGATCAGGTGCCATGGAAAAGTAAACATCCCTTGTCGACCGGTCACACCCGCCGTGTGCTCCTTGTCGTGATCTGGCAAACCGAAAAATCAGTGCAATACAGTGTGTAAATAATTCCTAACAATTAGTATTTGACTTAATGATAGATTATATAAAATTTTGCTGACAAGGTCATTGTACATGTATCGATCAAAGAACTTGGTGTAATGTTGACTTCAGACGAGACTGTTGATATTCTTGTTTCACCAACTTGTTTGTCAATAGGTTGCCTCGTTTTAGAAATTGTTCGTATGTAGAGCATGCTCTTGCATATCGAATTAACAGGGAGACATAAATTCATATGCAGGTGATAAAGGTATATTGCTATATAGATAAGGGAGGTTGACAATAGAAAAGTTGAAGTCATCACGTTTATCATAAAGTTTAGTTGTTAGGTAGTAAAAAATGAAACAGATGTGTCAGACTCTGTAGTATCTTTAATTTCATACCTGGCATTCAGTTACGGGTTTACAGAACGGAGAAAGATTAAAACAAACAAACAAAAACTAAAACCAAAACAAAACCAAAAAATTAAAAAAAAAAAACAATAACAAAAGGTGTACCCTTTTTGGTCACCTGAGTACCTGGGTCACTAGGGTGATATTGCTGTTTGTTTTTGTCCGTCTTCCTACGTCGGCCATCCATTCTCTTAAGAGAAGTTTTAAACCCCTTGGTCATTCACCTATGGATGATGATTAATCGCTGTAAATACATGTAATGTACTTGATAAGTAAATCGAATAAAGAATTGCACTGGGTTTCTGATGATAATCAGGCTAACTATTTTGTTGATCCCAGATCGTCCTATTCCTCTTGATTTTGAGCAACATATCTTCATCTGTTCGTTTATTTTTTTTTTATTATATAATTATAAAATTACCATTCCATGGGCCCTTCGATTATATACAGGGTTGCATTAAACTCAATGTGGCCGTTAAGGTCCTTGGGCCAGGCACTCGTTTCATAGTTAAGGTGTATATTTACATGCTGTATCTCATGCGCGTATGTGGAGTCCCCTTCCGGGGATTTATTTAATATGACCTTGGAGGCTTTCAAGAACATCCCTCCTCCTCCGGGAAACATGGAACCTTTAAAAAATGGTAAGGAGAGTTATAAATAGGCCTACGTATAAAGGAATTAAACTGACTAAGGAAAGGGACTTGTATCCCCAGCACCTCCACCATGATTTTTTTTTTCAGGTTGAGGCAAGTTGTTTACGCGTTATAATTATTATTTAAATTTCACCCCACCCCCCTCCGGGAAAAAAAAAAATCCTGGATCCGCACATAAATGTATCTTATTCGTTTATTCCATAATGCATACAAGTTTTCAAAAAAAAAAAAAAAAAAAAAAGAGAGAGAGAGAGAAAGAGAGAGAGACCAGCATTTAAATTAAGGTCAGACGACACATTCTTCAAAAATATGTAATTTTCCCCAATATTTTGTCATTGAAGTATATCTACTTAAACAAGTTTCCTCACCAAAAATTGAGGTATCTTACCAGGCATTTGTGCAAGATACCAGAGGATGATATTCCTTATATAATCCTTATGTGTATTCTTTTGAATTGCCAGTGTCACAAGTTTTGGTGTACTTATATTTTTAAAACATATTGAAAACAATTAAGAAATCACAAGAGAATGACAATGTGAATAATTTCTTATATAATACCAAGGTATACAAAACAGATATTTAAGGAACGTGTCATCTGACCTTAAATCAACTTCGGAACGTAACAACAAATGATTTAAGGGTAAATAGCAAACTTTCTTTTTCAGAAATCAGCAATATTTCTCATAGATTTATATTCGAATAGGCAACCTGAATCATGTTTGCCAGGAAGAGTGGGAGAATTTTGTACGATTTTGTCACAATGTTAAATATGTGTGCAAAATTTTGTATAGAATTACATAGAAAACGATATAAAGTCACATATCTAAGTGCCCTTTACAAAAATTTTGATATTTCTAATGCAAATTTTGTACATGTACAAATTTTGCATTTATAAGAAAATAATATCATTTTTTTGTAAAGGATACATGTTTACAGGCACTAAAGAAAACTTTATATTTTAGGGATTCATTATTTCTGTCAAATCCATTCCAAATCTGCCAAAAAATATATATTAATCCATGCATCAAATTTTGTTTTTGTAATGTATCCTTAAAAGAGATTATTTGCAGTTGTAAATATAAATGTGTTGCATTCTTTATGAAATTAATGGCTACTTAGCAGGGACCTATATACTATATTATATAGATCCCTGCTATAAGGCCAATATGAAAAGAAGCAGCCTTTTAAATTTTCCGTCCAATATGGTGCCTCTGTTTCCTTTTCCTTTTTTTTTTCACAAATTTTATTTAGATTGAAACAAATAAATACACTTCTCAATAGAATTATTTGAAATAAAACCTTTTGGGGAAAAAAAATCGGCAAATTGCTTAACAAAGCGCGATAACTCTTTTGTTTTGTGTGTGTCGTGTGCAAAAAAGGTGACAACAATTTGGCGGAAGTATTTAATTATTCGACGACACTTGCGAACGCGGTAAAGTGATTTAAACAACACAGAGGAGATATATACAGCAATAAAAGGTATGTAATAAAAACATCTACTGTCTGAGGGTGTACTTTCGGTTTTAACCGCACGTGTACACATTTTCTTTACTTTGAACGTTGATCGTGGATTTATTTTGTATACAAGTTTGGCAGGTTTTGGAATTTTTAAATCAGGACGATATCAATATACCTGATAAACGATTCATGTGAAAGTTTAAACAGCTGTTTCACGGTAGCTTAAATATTTCTGCCTTATACGGCAAAATCCTTTCTCGGAATGTAAAGAATTAGCGGAATGTCATATTCATGCATGAAACAAGACACGATGTCGTCATTTCATGAAGTAAACAAGGATTTAAACTCACACCCGTGTTCTATTAATAATAACAGTCTTTATAAATTGAAATAACTTCAATTCAGTGGCTTTAAATTTGGGATTCGATCTGATCAATACCTATTGATCTTGTAAACACGGTGCATATAGCAAGGTGGTTGTATTGTATGGTGCAAGAGATACACTCCATAGATAAATTCAGGTAAGATATTTTGCATGTCTCTAGCGTCATCAAGGTAAAAAATACAATAACAGCCTTGCAGGCACATTTTTTTCAAGGTGATTCCAGTCAGCAATGGGTGTTGTCGATAAATTATTATAATATTCTATACTCTGTAGACCAGAAGATCTGTTACAGTAAATTATAATTCAAGGGAGATATCTTGTTTTCCTGTCCATTTTGTACAGGTAATTATGTACAGATAACAGGTTTTTGATGTGTAACTGTGTTGTAAGATTTTTTATAACAAGCGGACATTCTTGATGTTCGTTCAGGTAAGATTGTAATTTGTCACACAGTGTAACAGTTGGACACAAATCAAGATTTTAATCACTGGAAATGTAGTTTTACATAAGTAATGTTATGTTTAATGTTGTCAAAATTGTTTCATTTAAATTTAAATGATTATGAAAACTATAGTCAACAATTGTTAATGACATGTGGATAGAATATTTCACACCATGAATAATAAGATGTATTATAGGAAAGAAAGATCATGACTGATCTCTATGTGCATATATTATATTACAGCAGTGGTAATCTTATGAGCCTTAGTCAAGTTTAGTGAGTTATCATATGAATGTCCTACTTTAGTACCAGGCGCTTCAGTTTAAAGATGTTCTTAAGTTCATTCTGTGAAGTATACTTTTGAAGCAGTTATATAAATGGAATTAGAAAATAAAATGGTGCATTATGTTGTGAACTGAATAAACATCCATGTCAGAAATACTACTCTGGTGTATGAAAAAGAGAGCATTTACATTTATGCTCTCACTGAATTAATGCAAGAAATTTGAATCTAAGAATTTGGAAGTATGTTGCCATTGAGGTATTCAGAATATATTAAATTATGAATGATCCTTAACTTGAAAATTATAAATTTATACTACATGACCAATTTAAGTACTTGATAATGTCATTGAATGCATGAATTTTGATTCTTTCAGGGTTCTCAATTGTAAATAATTTGGTCTATTCAAGGGTCCCATTCTCAATTCAAAAAAGGTACCTTGTGTTAATTTTCCCATTAGTGATTTGTCCCAAAAAAATTCTTAAAAAAAAGTATAATTAGATATATATAATAACTATAAACTTGCTATTCACATTCCTCTGTATTGCAAAACAAAAATTTAGTTCATAATATAATAAAGAAATTTTGAAGTATAATGGTTATCCCCAAATTCCCAAAATGGTCGCTTTTTTCCCAGTCTTTATGGCCCTGGCCCCATTCCCAAAAAGTGTGTGAGAGCCCTTTCTTTACAGAAACACAAACCAGAAATTGTGTAACTTAGGTATTGTACTATTGCATCAGAATCTGAATTTACTAATCATGTTACTTTATGTAATGCACCTTTATAAATATAATATAATTATATAAAAATATATAAATCATATCCTAATTAAAAAGGAACTTTGAAATACTACAAAATCATTGTGATGTATGTCTATCATTAATCACAAAACCATGGCACCTAAACCAGGTATCAATACTATTCTGATCCTTCCAAAAATCCCATTAATGACATTCCTACCATCCATACAAAATTCAGCTGATTTATATTTGTTGCACTTTTTCCTGCCAATGAAGGATGACCATACCATTAGGAAAGCTGATAAGAATTTTCTGAATAATCTGAAAGTTTCCAGTCTTTGCTGATAGAAATGAGAATGTGCAAGCGGTGCAGTTTTTCTTTTCACCATGTAATAGCACTGCACATGTTAAAAAGCACTTACAAATAAATTAAGTTTTATCATTGACAGAGTTTAATATTCCTTATTGAACAATGAACACACTGTATGAAGTCATGTTTATTCCTGACTGCAATGTTTTGCCAAAAATTAATTAATCCCTTTTGCTAATCCAATCTTCCTGCATGCAAAAGGTGTTAAAATCAATGCAACTCTTTTCATATAAAAAAAAACTTGCTGTCAATAATTAATGAATGGTAAAAATTAACACTGTAATTAAAAACCAAATTAAGTTAATTAGCACTCCTGGGAACATTTTCCTTACATCCAATTACCAGGAGTCTTTTTTCTAAAACAAGCAGATACAGTAAAATCAACAAAGTTTGGGAAATGTTGAACCGTTTCTGACTCATGCCACACCGTAAAACCAGACACCTTGAGTAATGCAGGAGAGGGTTGGATGAAACATCCTCTTTGTGCTGTTTTTTACTTTGAAGACTTGATAGGGATAAAATTTGACAGTTTATAGGAGTGAGCGAACTCCAGAGAAGCTGCACAAAGAAGGAGAGATTACCAATTTTTTTCCCTTCTGTCTTCTTCTTCCCAGTCATTTTGAGTATCTCTTGGGGCGAAAGTGGTAGAGATAATTATTTTTTAACAAGATGTTGACAGATTGGTATTATTATCCTAGGCGGCCTTCATTTGACAACAGGACGATGGCTGAACGGTGTCCAAGATGTCAGAATATGGTGTACTTTGCTGAGGAAGTGAAAGCATTAGGAAAGAAATGGCACAAGCTCTGTTTTAAATGTGGTAAGTATTTCAAGAATTTTAATTGAGAATTATATCTATCTGATTTAAATTGGTTGAAGTGAATGATTAATTAAGAAAGACCAAAAAAAAAAAAAAAATTCTCTCAGAGGGAAATGAGGTGAGCTAAAGAAATTTTCTGAAATTAAGTTCCATAATTTGTTATAGGGTACATACATGTCTCTTAATTCATTTTTTTGATTTACCTGTAAATCATTTCCTTTTGATCTTAATCATAGTTCTTTATAAAAATTTGCTATGGAAAATTAATATCTTTCAAAGTGATAAATGCTATCAGTTCATATTATGTAACACGAGGGAAAGAGAAACCAGATGTCAAAGGGAAAAAATATTATCTAATGAAAGAAGAAGCTGTTTTAAAATCTCAAGTGCAGTATCATACAATCATTGTCTCTTGTAAAATCTTTTGGAACCACAGGCAAGATCCATTTAGAAAGTCTCTGGCAGTAGGGAGTAAACATTTACTAACAAAGACCTGTGGCAATATGCAATGCAAATGTAGATAAGCAATAGGAGATCTGGTGAATTATATTCTGTTAAATATGAGGTTTCTCAATCCTGACAGGTGTAATCCTACAGAACATCAAAAATAATATTTCTGTTAAACCACAGAACAAGGAACTAAAATATCCTAATTCACATTGGTACTATTTTTGAATACAATTATGTCTGTTGAAATTTTAATTCTTAATTACATTTTTTACATAGAAAAAATTATCTGTAGAGTAGTTTTAACTCCAGCTATACAGAGACCCATTTCAAGATGGATAATTCTTGTTCATGACTGACTGATTTTATGACCAGGTTATGGCTCATTATCACTTCATTTATCATCTCTTTGTGCCCTTGTTTTTTATTTTGAAAACCTGATAGCTATTTAACAGGGAGCCTCTTGACTCTCTTTTGTTGAAACCTTGACATAGGTTTATCTATTTTCTTGATATCAAAAGATTAAGATGGGTTTGTCTTTATTATTTTATCAGGAAACTGCAACAAACTGTTGGATAGCACAACATGCACAGAGCATGATGGAGACGCTTTTTGTAAATCTTGTTACGGAAAACTTTTTGGACCCAAAGGGTATGGATTTGCAGGGGGATCTTCCGGTTTATCTATGGACACTGGGAATCCTCATCAGCAAACTCGAAGGTGATGAATCACTTCCTGACGTATATCTTGCACCTGTGCAAAATTTTATCATCATTGATTCATATCAAAATATCAGCTCTTCATCTTATCTTGCAATTGTATTTTTTGATTTTTGTAAGGAGGGGATGAAAATATCAGCATAGGCATTTGATTGTATACGGAGAGAATAGTCCTATATGATCCAAATTTAAATTTTGAATTTTTTTTTTTCAATTTTAAATTGAACTGTTCCTAGAGATGTAGATGCCATGTTTGATTTGCTGGCATTGAGCCAATGTACAAAACATTGGCTAATCCCTAGAATTGATTGACAGGTCATCTGATCTTGAAAATGATTAGTGTACATCACAGCTTCAAAGAAATTCCTTTAATGTCAGTCATTCTTTACTACTGCAACAGCAGATTCATAGATACCTGTACAGGTACGATGTACCTGTGATTTAATGTTGCTACTTTATCTTGATGAAGGGCCTTCATACATTAATTTGTGGCTTCCTCCTGAAGGAAATCTAATTTTGTTCATGTTGTTTTTACATTGTAGGTAAAAACTTTACATAAAACAGTAAAAGAAATTTATGTGTCAGTCTTTATATTAAAAAAAAAAAGGATGTCAGTTTCTGTTATCAGATACATGTACTCTTGATTACATGAGTACTTGTAGATTGATCTCCTCATGTAACACTTTATAGAATTCAGATGAAATAATAAAAAATAATCCTTGTGTATGCAGTTAGAAATCAATTTTCTTGAAATTTATCCACAAGGAAAATATAAATCATCTAAATTTGCAGTCTTCTGTTGGCATTAGTTCCAATTATACAAAATATAGCTTATCTTTACAGTCAGAGCTGTCTAAAAATAATTCTGTGGCTAATAGACAAAGCGATGACAGGGAAACGGCTCATGAAATGCGTCTCAGTTTTACACATTTCAAGGCCTCTGTGCTGCAAATTTAAAGATAAGAAATCTTCATTTCAAGCAATGTTTACCTAACGCAACTTTTTTTAATCCCTCAGAATAACATTAACTTTGTGGATGCTGCTGGTAAATATCCTATTTATATTAGAAGACATTTCTTTTGATTTTTTACAGTAATGTTTCTCATTACTCTGAGGCACAAGGTGCCCCTTTGGTGAATCAAGGAAAACCAAAGTGGGGAGGGACAGATGGTTGCCCCAGGTGTGGAAAGCCGGTGTATTTTGCAGAGGAGATGAGAGCTTTGGGAAAGAAGTTTCACAAACTCTGTTTGGCTTGTGGTAAGATCTTCCTCACAAGCTCCGTTTGGTTTGTATTAAGGTTTTGTTTGGATATTTAACGCAGCAGTCAAACAATTATTAAGGGTACATGATAAATAGACAGGAAATAATCAATGAGGGAAGATAATTAATTCCTGTTTCAGAAATGTGCCTTAGTTTCTGATAATAATTCAAATCTCTGAGCTTTTGGTCTCTCAAGTTAGATAACTCTGTATACAAGTGTGAATATACTTTCGGAAAACAATTGACTTTGTCAGCTACCATATAGATAAATGAATTTCTCAGATAGTACATGTTGTACAACAGATAATCAGTTGGCATAGGTGTTCAGAGCTAAATACTGTTCAGTGCTTTAATTTCTCTATTAGATAGAATTTTAAGCACAGATTTGCTTGTAAAGGACTTAAACATACCAAGTTGTCCTGCACAAGAAGAACAATATAGTCATCTGATCTAGTTTTTTGATCTGAACAACACACACACTGAAATTATTTTGACAGAATTCACATTAAAGTGCCTTCAACAGAGTACATTGTATATATTGCAATAATTCTTAGTTATTGACAAAGAATGAATTTACAGAGATGTGATATGTATGCTTTGATTATTCTGACAGTTCTAATTCATTATTTCTCTAATTAGCCGAAATTTTGAATATTACCAAATTTCAGAAATTTATTAGTGTAAGAGAAGTTATCTCCCTTTGTAGAAAAAAATATGTTCTTGATTAGGAGTGAAGAATAGTAAACCTAAGAAATGGAACAAAAGTTTTCAAGATTTGTTTTTCAAAATGTGAGAAATTATTGTGGAAATTTTTTAGATAATTTACTTGTATCCATTCTCAGAATATATAGTATATTTTGCTACACTTTATTTTTGACAGCCAAGTGCAACAAACTGCTAGATAGTACAACCTGTAATGACCATGATGGGGAAATCTTCTGTAAGGCCTGCTATAGCAAGAGTTTTGGACCCAAGGGGTATGGATTTGCTGGAGGAGCTTCAGGGCTGTCTATGGATACAGGGCGTCGAAATGAAATCACCACTGGGTATGTGTGCACCTATGAAACTTAACTAAATACATTTAACGTGAAGTAGATTAATACGTTTTTGACGTAAGTCATTGTGACATAGGAAACACAGGGTATCTGATAAAAACAAATTTTTCTATCCAATCAAAAGGCATGTTATAATGAAAGTTAAATTATTGATGTAATTGTCCTTAAGTATTAGACATAACTCATTTGTATTATGGTTATTTAGGTGGAAGCAATTGAAAAATGTATCAATATTCAGTAGGAGATTGAGGTGAAGATATAACAATGTATTGATTAGTATGTTTGCATTTGAGCAGTTTCATAATAAGTATACAAGTGCAGTTGCAGTTATGAATGCACACTTGTAAACCTATGTATTTTGTCATCAAATTCTTTTCATGATTATAGCCTTACGAATATTTGCAAAGTAGTTATCTACTTACATTGAATCGTATAGAGATATAGAAATGTTTATTACATATTGTATTTGAGCCTCAAAAAGGAAAAGAAGGAAAGTAAAAATAATTAATTAGTTTTAATTACATGCAGTCAGCTCAACAGTTATGTTGTTACGTTATATATTTGTAATAAATAAACAGTCAGTCTTGATAAATTACATGTATCTACCTGAAGTTTCATAATTAAAAAAAAAATCATTTAATAATTTTCTAAGTAATACTCATAATCAACAGTATACTTTATTACTTATATACGTGTATATTTACTTTAGTTTTATAATGTGTCGTATAATTTGATTGTTGAAACTGATGTAAAGATAATGCATATCATATTTTCCTTGTTAAGAAAAAGTTCCAAAAGAAATTTTTGGAATATAATGAATTTCAACACTGGATGGTTTTGTAGTAAAAACTTAAAATTTTTTAATCTTGGTAAAGTTTATGAAGTAAAATGCTAGGAAAATGATAAATACATGTATAGTAATTGATTTTATATACAGGTACATGGCATGTATATTTCAAAATATTTTTACTATGAAAATATTCAATTTGCATTGAAATATTACTTGCAGAAATGTTTCTCACTTGGCCCAAGCCCAAGCAGCACCATTAATGAATGGTGGTGGATCCAATCGTTTCGGGGGAGGAGACTGCTGTCCTAGATGTGGGAAGCAGGTTTATTTTGCAGAGGAGGTCCGTGCCATGGGGAAGAAGTACCACAAACTGTGCCTTAGATGTGGTAAGAGAAATTTACTGACACATGTTTTAAAAGCAACATTTTTGATATTGATAAATAAAACTCTATTAATAGGCAGAGTGTTCTATTCTAGTCAGATCAAAAAGTGCTAGTTGTCAGTCATTAGTGTCTGTAAACTTTTTTTTTACATCTTTTCTGATTATGAAAGTATCAAAGAGAGTTGTGCTTGCTGTTCATGTTAATAAATGTAAACATTCAAAGAACCATGCAGAATGAAATGTTTGAATTTAAAGATGATATTTTTAATGTGTTGAGGTCTCTATTTCCTTTGTTGATTTTGGTGATTAATTTCTGTTTTATAAAGCTTATTGTGACATAGATCTCATAGTGCTATTTTTATTTTATTATTAGCTAATTGTAACAAAGGACTAGACAGTACAAATTGTACTGACCATAACGATGAGGTGTTCTGTAAGACGTGCCATGGAAAACTCTTTGGACCAAAGGGATATGGCTTTGCTGCTGGAGCTTCAGGACTTTCCATGGATACTGGAAACCCGCACCATGTGACAAAAGAGTGAGTTCATTTTCACATGAAAATACATGTTTCTCAGACGAAAATTGAGTTTTTCTCTGATTTATGATCTATTAGTCTATTCAGGAATTCAATTCATTTGAAAGTTCCCGTTTCACAAAAATTCCAATGTCTAGGAAGTGAAAATTCCTTTCTTTGAAAAATGTTCAAAATTCTTACATAATAAAAATAATTTGTGGAATTAGATTTAGTAAATTTAAGTATCAAGTATTTGATTAAAAATTAATTCTCAGTGTTCATAGATGCTGTAAATTCTTTGTCCATAGGAATGTATCCTCGTATGCTGTGGCTCAGGCTGCTCCGTTACTGGAGAATGATAACAGGAAGTCAGCGGGCTATGGATCATCGGACATATGTGGAAGGTGCAACCAGGCGGTGTATTTTGCTGAGAAAATCATGGCAGGAGGTGGTGTAAGTACAGTGTATTGTAAAATTTTCACTATGGTTAAATTAGTGATGATGTATGGATGTAAGTCTATAATTGATGATAACTTGTGCATTTCTTATCAATTTAGTATGTAAATACTTACTGGATAAGTTGTGTTATCAACAGAATGATTCCACGTCAGTTATGTATCAGTAGATGGTGTGTATGTTTTGATCTAAGAGTAGACTTCCTTTTATTGTAGATCTATCACAAAGCCTGTTTCAATTGTACGGCGTGCAGTAAGAAATTGGACTCCACTACAGTGACTCAGGCAGAGGGCGACATTTTCTGTAAATGTGAGTATTGACTCATCTGTTTGTACTTTTTTAAAAGGAAAATGACCTTATTTAGTAAAGCTAAAGGAATTGTCAGAAAACTTGTCTATAATTGGGGCCATTCAAAGGCCCCATTCCCAATTCAAAAACAGTTTATTGAATGTATTAATGTTTTCCACAGAAATGAAGGTTGAATAGATAACAATATGTAATTTATAGTCCTCTTTATTGGAAAAAAGAAATTTAACAAACACCAGAAACCCAATAAATATATATATTTTAACATATAACGATTTTACCATAATTCCCTAAAAGGTCTCTAAGTTTCCCAGTTTTTTACTGCCCTGGCCCCTGTCCCAAAATGTGGTGGTAGATCCCTGTATGCATTAACATTCCACTTAGCAAAAAATTCTGTCTGTGATATTATGTAGTATATAACATGATTAGATGTAAAGATTTGGGTCTACAGAATATTAAATTGGAAGTGTAAATACATTGTTACATACAAATATGTGCTTGACTCAAAAAATAGCTACTGTAAAACACGCTGAAAGCGAAATGCCAGGGACAGACAATTTTGCTTTGTTTAATATAAATTTAATTTGTTATGTCCGCATAGTTTGCAATACATTTTTAAACTATGGGGAATGAAATTCATTATTATCATTATAAGCGTGTTTTACTGTAGAATATAAGAATATTAAGAAAAGGACTGGTGACTACGTCTGTTTTGACTGGTGTTTTCACAAATACTTAGATTCTTGTAATTATATAGTATATTTATCTTTGTAATGTTGTCTTGTAGCTTGTTATGGAAAACATTTTGGACCAAAAGGTTTTGGATTTGGACAGACTTTACAACACACAGGCTGAGTAGAGGTGGATCTAAGTAATGTAGAGGTGGATCCAAGTTTTTATTTGGACTGACCTTTATGGAAGAATGCCTTGTGACTTTTGGCATTGTTATCTGTGTTAAGGTCAAAATGTTGTCGGTATCTGGTGCTGATGTCAACATTTCCAATTACATACATGTAAATGTATTGCAACATAAAAATAAGTGATCTTTCTTTTAATATATTTTGTGTATTCAAGAGTGAGAGAAAATTCATTTTCTTTTTTTGTTGGATTTTTTTAAACCTGATTTTTAAATATTTTATTATTTTTAATATTTTTTAGCAACTTAAACAGAAAAACCATACAATTTTAAAGTATGAAATATTTTTTTTCCCGTTTTTAAAAACTAATTTTTTTATGGTCTTGAATACTGTTATCTATTTATAAAAAAACTTTTCTTTTTCCATTTTTCCAATTCATACTCCACCTCAAAGTGATATCCCAATATGAACTCGATGGCTGAAAAGAAGAAGGGCTTATATTGAAGAAGGATTTAAATTAGATGTTATATGAAAAGGGGATGTGATTTGATTTTTATTGCATGCTTATCTAGAATTCACTAACCGAAATCTTGTTTATTTTAAGTTTTTCTCTCTACAGAATTTTAATTTTTTTTTAATAATTCACTTACCGGGTATATACATTTTTTTTTAACCAAAAAACTTCTAGTGCATGTATTCAAAGTTTTTAAATGTCTGTTATTTTAAGTTCCAATTTTGAGAGGGACTCTTCTCACTTAAACCAGAAACTTCCTTTAATACAAGCTTCATGTTTTATTCAATTTGTGCTAGATTCAAAGATTATAAAAAAAAATATTGGCAAGAAAGAGGATGTTATATCCAGACAATTTATTTTATTGGAATAAATTTATATTCATTTGAGAAACCACCGACTCTCACTCATGTACTATTTTTCTCATTGTTAATCAAGATATACATATTGACTGTAGTTATATTGACATTAAGCTCTTAGGTTGTGATGTCATTTACACGTACCTCGTGTTATCCAGTGTGGAACACAATACGTGTTGTCAATTTGTCATATTTATACTGTTTACTGCATGATTATGTATACATCAAAATTGGACCATGTTATGATTTATTTTGTTAGATGTTGTAAATGGAAGACAGAAAATGAATGCATTGTTGAAAAATTTTACAGTTTTATTAACTGAAATTACTTTTTTCCCTTTACTTCTCAACAAGAAATTAATTTTTTTTTTCGAGGTGAAGATTTTTTCTGTGTTCACTAAACCAATATCTATGTAGTTATGTTGGACTTCCATTGTGTTTTTCGAGCTTAATAGGAGTCTGTAAATGAAAACACTTGCTGCTTCCAGACAGGACTTCTTGTTTTTAACAAAACTTTTTTTTGTTTCCTTCATATTGATAAATTATCGATTTATTTTATTCTTGTGTAGTAGGGTATTGCCTTTAAAGATTTTGTTACCGGTAATTGTTCCCATGTGTGTGGAAATTTTTTATTATTTACGTAAATGCATATTATTTTTTCAGATTTAGTTTATATGTTTAAATCTCAAGCATCTCACAGGTATAATTTATTATTGAACTTGTTGTATCTAAGACGTATAAATATTGTCCATTACAGTCAAAGATTTTTTTTCTTCAAGGAGAGATTTTTTTTCTTCTAAAAAACAAGATTGTTAAAGAATCTCATTTAATAATTTTCCTGTCCTGTTGCATTTTTGCATACTCAAAATTGAAAAGGGACCATCATTTTAAAGGATTTAGATTTTCTTTACTTTTTTGCTTGGAAAAAATTGCATGGGACCAGGAAATATTTCTAATATTGTCTGACTTTTGTAGAGTTAAGAGTGCATAAATACAAAGAATGGCATTATTAGTGTTGTCACAAATAAACTGGAAAGTACAACTACCAGGTAGTTAATGTTCTTTATTGTGTAAATTCTTAATGGAATTAATGAGAACAAACAATATTTTAGAAACATATATGTCCCCCATTTTGCAATTTTGAAAGAATCAGTTTTGAATATAAATATCTGTAATGATACTGAAAAAACTAGAGCGAGCTCGTTGCAAAGCAACGAATAGGTCTTCCGTTGGAGCTGCGGAAGGAAGAAGTGACCTTGAGTCAAGGTCATGCCACATTCTTAAGTTATACATGTAAGCAATCTTGTAAGGGGAAGCAACTTACAATATTTCGCTAGGAAAAACTGTAAAGGAATGTACGTGACCTTGAACATTCCAAATGCCTTGCATCAAACCATGACGCACTCTCGTCATAAAACCCAATCTGTATGTTACCGACTTGAAAAGTTCACAGTGACACGTCATGTTCTTTTAGTCCATACATACAGTCAAAACATCTTATCCTTAGTGACCTTGAACTTGAGTCAAGGCCATGTCACACTCTGCATGATACCAGCAATGTTTCACTAGTACAAATACGGTAGCGAAATTACAGTTTCTCTGTCAGTGACCTTGACTCGACCAAATGACCTTGCATCAAGGCCATAACACACACTGGTTAAAAGCAATACCAGTCTGTGAGTTTCTGAACGAATAAGTTCAGCCATGTTTTTTTCAGATCATACAGCGAGTCGGAATAATTTGTTAGGTTCAGCATAATGATTAAAAAATTCATTGAGAATGTTTTATGCCCAGTTTGGATAAGTAGTAAAACGTGGAGATCGATCCTTTGGATGAGACCGGTGCTTGTGGACAGGACCCCCCCCCCCCCCCAATATACACCCCGGGGTTCAAGAATATTTTTATTCAACTTTTTCCATAAATTAATCTTCTAGTACACATTTACAATGTATTCCATATGAAAAATCCATAAAAATAACGTAGAATTAACGTTTTATTAAAAAAATCATACCCGCGGTATTATGAAATAGAGAAGGTAAGTCACTTCCATTTGTTAACACTGGACCCCTCTTGGATATCGGGCCTAAAATATCATATACATGTACCTACCACATGTCACCAAAATATGTTATTATATCTTGTTTCATCGTCGCAAGCCACGGGTTTTGTGTCCATTCTATTTCCACAAACCCGTGGCTGCCTCCTTCAAATTTCTCTCGTTCTCATGAATATTAATAACATAATTCAACCAATTGAATAACATCTGACGCTTCAAGTCAGAACCAATGAAAATGATGTCTATCTTGTATTTGGATGTAACCATAACCACGAGCTGTACATCAACTTCGGTTCGAATTTCCTTTCTTAACGAGTAACGCTATTCAGCGTTCTCACACAACCTCTACATTTGAAACCCTGTATTTTAATGTAAAACTTTGTAAGTATTTTAGAATATACGTTACTCACATCTGTTCTTCAGGATCTATCGTATTTTTTTCAATAAATCTGCCACGCATAGCAAACATGATTTCATTATGGGCGCCGCCATTTAAGCGTACCAAAAATTGCTACAGAGTGATTTCATTGGTCAGGGTAAATCTTCAATGATTCAATCGCGAGAACGAGAGAATTTGGTAGGAGGCAGCTACGGGTTTGTGGAAATAGAATGGACACAAAACCCGTGGCTTGCGACGATGATCTTGTTTCGGTAGATATTTTTGTCTTAATCATGCTATTTAAACGGAAGACCTTAAATAGTGTCTGTGGCTGTCACTATTTCGGTGTTTTTCAGAAACTTGATTGTAGAATTAGTCAAAGTCCACAACTGGACAATAAACTGATAAATCGGCTACGGTATATTATCTGTTCACAGAAACGACATATTGAAACTGGGGAAAAAAAATAATCCAGAAGCAATTCATTTCATTGAAATTCTATCATGAATATTTTGTTTTAATCGATGGACTCGATAAATCAATAAACTGACCGAAGGAAAAACGTTGCACGTGCCGTAACATTCTGTACGTTTTTTTTTAAATTTTACATTCTACTTGCATAATACATGCACATGTACATGTACATATATATTAAACAGAAACATAAATACCAAGCCCGTCGGCATTTTAAAAAAAGTAATAAAACATAATTTGATTTGATCTATTTTATTTCATTTAAACTCTATAAATTTATTTTAAAAGTATGATTGATCTTTTTCCTTTTAATATACACTCAGGGTAAAAAAAAAAGTATATATTGACTCGCGTAACTTTCGTGGTTGTAGTTACATTTGAAAATGAAGAAATAATGAAATAATGAAACGTTGAAGGGACTGGTGTGTTGTATGGCTAGACAACGCCTTGCACATGCAGAGAAATTTACCACAGGTACTCTAGGACAGGTGTGAAACCCCTAGGGCATGCCGTTTCCTGCTCTTGCTCTGCTAATCCCTATACACAGGAAATGATCGCGACTAATACTTAATACACAAAGAAACAGAATATATTCAAGTAAACTTGGCACTGATTTTTTTCTTGAGTATTATTGAGAATAATTAGTTTTAGTGATATACCCCCCCCCCCCCCCGGTTTTAATTGCTTTGTGAAGTTCATCACCATGCACATTCCATCTTCTGTAATTGGAGAAATGTTTAAATTAAAAACAAACCACTGTTTACAAAAGAAGTAAATATCGAGGGAAAAAAAATTGTTATATTTTATTGATATCTTTTATAACGTTCACGCGCCCACTCACTGCAAACGCTCACCATCGAATATTACAGCTTTCCGGTCATTCGACAATTTCAGGGAAATGCTTTCACATTAATACAGTAAAGTGAAATTATTCAAATGAATTATATTGTTCTAAATTTGGTATTAAAAAAAAAAAAAAAAAAAAAAAAAAAAAACACCATGAACAGTATATAGATATATTTTTTTCCTCATAGGAATGCTGAAAACTGTTAATCGGAACTCGCATTGACTATTGTTTAGCACGTGTATGTAACATTGCAGTTCGCATATAATTTGAAAAGAGAAGTTATTAGAACTTATATTTCCGACATTAAAATTTGTCACGTTAAACTCTCAAATGACTCAGCTTATAAATAGTTTTCTTGATACTATTTAAAAAAAAGTGTCGCTTTAGTATTGATATATAACTTAACAAAATTAATAATAATAAATAAAATAAAAAAAAACGATTAAATATATTCTGCTTTACAATTTTTTTTTCTGTTCATTCATAATTTTCACCTTTTGCGAAATAAAAGAAAATACTTTCATAAATATACATACACTGCGGGATTTTAATTTGTTTTTTTTAAAGAGGGAATTTCGCAAAATTCCTTTTCGGGGAGATAACTCCCGTTTGTTTACGATACTAGGTGATCGATGATTTAACCTCGGCGGGGACAGGTAGGTGATGAATTTCCCGCGGAGGGAACGCGGTTTACCTGTCTCACCTGGCCAAATCCCGCGTTGTGTTTATACCGCGACGGGGCGCAGGAAATACGGGATCCATGTTGCCTGTACTGTACATGTATAGTCAATCAGATTAGAAATACAGCGACTATCAGAATTTCGGGCCGTAAAAAAGATCTGATTTTGATTAGATTTCAGGTGTAGGCGAATATGTGTGTACTGAGGGGTTAGTTAATTCATTCAAGATTTATTATATTGTTCGTTTGGACGAAGGCTTCATAAAAATATACACACTGTTTGTACAGGTACACATCAATGAATGTTCAGATTAATTCAAAAATCGGCGTACATTAATTTAATTTAGTTATCTAAAGGCAATGTTATTTCCAGAGACATTTATATTTTCTGTTTTTTGTCTCGGATTTTTCTTCTTTGTGATTTACCGGTTTACAAAGGCCTGTGTTTTAACAGCTGTTCATAAACGCTGTCAATTAATATATGATCAGAGAAAACGAGACATCTCCCGGTAATTCATTTCTTATGGAAAATATATGGATTGACATCTTAGTATTTACCTGTGTAATTACGATGTTACAAACCGTGACGATGACTGGCCAGGAGGACTACCCGTTATGAAAACAACTCATGATCAACTCAGCGGACCTATAATTGACTTTAATATATGCTGTAAATCAATAAAATCATTTCAGTTTAACCGATATTTTATTGCAAAGATAATGGGAAAAAAAAGACTTGGGATTTAGAATTTTTCTGAATTTCAAACGCTTGATATGCTTATATTTGGGGCGCTCTTGCATATGCACTTATAAAACGTGCATGTTCTGTACGTGCATGCGTGTACATTGTATGTATCCGTAAAACCTTAAGAGAGCTGATAAATGTGTTCTGATTTTCAAGAAAAAATAATGGGAACCTATAAATAATTACATGTTTATCATTTTGTTCGCATACAATAATAAGTTTAGTAGAAAAAAATAATTTGTTCAAGGTTAGGTGTCTAATAAATTTGTAATATTCAAATACAGTTACGCATGTATGTCTCATTCTACATATTTTGGAGGCGCGTGTGAATGTGGGATTTTGTATTTCCATACGCTTGATATGCATATATTTGGGGCGCTTTGTATATATACAGTTGTACATTTTAAGGGCGTCGACAAAAGAACGTATATTAGATTACATACATGTACATTTAAGTTTCAAAAGTTCCATTACTAGTAGGAATTAATTAAGGTTACATATTTTGAATTTTATTATGAATAAAACAGACAATTAACTCGATATCGAGAGATAAATTGTTTATAAAAATAACTATGCAACTTTCCTGTAATTCAGCGAATAAAATATTAAATAAAATACACTAGCGATTTAATCAAAGATATTCTGAAATAATCTGAAAAATTCAACATATTTATCCACTCATGACTTAGTTTACAAAATGAATTTTGAATGGCCATTCTATGATTTGTTTTGTGTATGACTAGGTCGCTGGATCACACACGCCGATTGATCCCCGGTGACCTCCTTTGCCACGCGCTATCGAGGGAGGTGTTACATAATTGTAAACACACAAGGTGAATGTAAAAGGCGCACACTTAATGGCTGT